GATGTAACGTCAGATTTTTGTTCTTTGGTTGCTTAATGGTTGCTTTAACTTGAGCTGCTTTAAAGTGGAAGCTTTCTTGTCCACCTAGGTTGGACTTTTGAGACCTGTGTATTTAGATAATTAAGCAACAAGTCTTAAATCTCTTAGTGGTTCAAGACTTGAATGAATTTGACTATAAAAAATGCTCCCAAGCTATGAAGTGCAGTATTGAGTCAACCATTAAAGAAAGGCTGATTGTGCTTACTCAATTTGCTAGTGTTTTTCATAATCTTGTTTCAGTTCCTCCATTTTGTTACACTATTTTGAGAGGCTTAGTGACAAGTTTGGATAGGGGCAGGAAAAGAGCCCACGCTTAACTCAAATTGGGACTACTAGTGTGGGTTCCATAATTTTTCCCCCTCTTTAGCATGTAGCCTTCTCTGAGGGCAGCACCTGCAGGTGTTTGTGCTCTGGTAGGTGGCACCAGATGATGCCCAGCGCTGGCAAGTGCTTACCCTGCCCTTACAGATCACTGCTGAAATCACAATAATCCCAGAAGATGCTGCTAGATCAAATTTTAAGTGTACTATTTACCACTGTCTTTTTTTTTAATAATGCTCATGCTATTGCATGAGCAGCACATCCTGTGAGTCCAAATCCTCATATACTTGCTCAGAAAGGGATAGCTGCTGACCTGATGGTCTAGTCCTAGAGTCTTTGGGCAGCTTGCCATTAAACACTTGGAATTACACTTGACTCTTCCTTCTCCTAGGAAGGTATTGATCCAGAGCTGTATGGTTATGAGTACTTAACTAGGCTAACTTCTTTACAGGCTCTTCAGAGCCTTCAGAAAGCCTTTGAACTTCTTTACAGGCTCTTCAGAGCCTTCTCAAAGGCTTTCTGAAGTCCTGAGAGCAGTGCCTTAATACTTTAATATTACAGAATCACAGAATGGTTTAGGTTGGACAGGACCTCTGGAGATCATCTAGTCCAACCTCCCTGCTCAAGCAGGGTCCTCTAGAGCATGTTTCCCAGGATCACGTCCAGGCAGGTTCTGAATATCTCCAGGGAAGGAGACTCCACAACCTCTCTGGGCAACCTGTGCCAGGGCTCTGCCACCCTCACAGTCAAGAAGTTTTTTCTCAGGTTTAGATGGAACTTCCTGTGGTTCAGTTTCTGCCCCTTGCCTCTTGTCCTGTCGCTGGGCACCACGGAGAAGAGATTGGCCTCATCCTCTTGTCACCCTTCAGATACTTATACACATTGATCAGATCACCTCTGTCTTCTCTTCTCCAGGCTCAACAGGCCCAGCTCTCTCAGCCTTTCTTCAGAGGAGAGAGATGCTCCAGTCCCCTCCTCATCTTTGTAGCCCTCCACTGGACTCTCTCCAGTAGCACCATGAAAATTAGTTATTCAGAAAATTAGTTGAGAAGCGTTCTGGTTTGAGAATAAGCTTAAGCAGAATCAATCAACCATGCTTCTGCTACAGACAGCCAATATAAAAGACTTTTTAATATCTATACACAAGGAAGAATGACTTAAAATACTTGAGTCAGTATGCCTGAAGGAGACTGGACTGCACAAGTAGTCCTGGTTATCTTCTGGGCTTCTAAATCAAGTAGAAGATGGGGCAGGTACATCTGTAACTCCAGGCCTCCATTAATACATAGCTCATGTATACAGAAATCAAGATTCCCAGCCACAGTCCTTGGTACAGCAGCCCTTCCGCCTCTCAGAATCTTTCAGCTGCTCTGCTGGCCACAGCCCTAATATTGCCATAAACTTTGGATGGAGGACTCCCTGCAGAAAGAAAAAGTAAAATCATTCAGCAAACAAGACACTGTGTGTTACAAAACCAAAAGTTTTGTTCCCTTGCTTATGTCTGCATCACTGTGGAGAACAGGTGAGAAGGATGCTCAGGATCAGCCACCTTGCCTATTCCTGCAAGCAACAAACTCCCAACTGCTGCTGTGAATGGAGGCTACTGAGGCTTGTTCTTGACCTGCAGCATACAGGGCCAGGATGTGCTGAAGACCTCACTGTACAGAGCGGCTAAGGCCGCTCACCTGGCAACTGCACTGCAAGAGAGCCCAGGCCTTCCAGCAGCTCACTTCTGTAAAATGCCCCTTCCCCATTCTTGTCCGTTCTTGTTCTCAGTGGGGTTCCTCTGTCACACTGATGGATTCCCCCATGGAGCTCCACAGCAAACGCCTGAAGCTGAAAATCTTTTCCAGCATGAGGAGGGTGTTGCAGCCAGAAACTAAGCCCCAGGGGAAAGGAGGGGAACAAACTAGAACAAGTACAGTGGTCCCTCCCTCCACCCCACACCCTTCTCTAAGGGCAACAGCCACCTCCCAGCAACTCACCTGCTCCAAAAGCGTATGTAGGAACACTGGGGCAAAAGTTAAGACCCACATGAAGCAGCCTCTCTCAAACTGCAAAAATCTATTTTCATGTACTGAACAGAAGGTTAGATAACAGGACCTACCTAAAATTAGATTGCAAATTGCTGTTCGTGCCATTTTTATGTTCTGAAAAGATCCTAAAATATGAATTTTCCTGCAAAAAAAAGCAGCCAAAGTAGCATTAGTTACTGTGGGGGTGGGGGGGGAGGGGGAAAATACTCAAAGATTACACAGTTAATGGAGAATCCAAGTTGGAGGTTAGGAGTGAACAAAGACCTTCAAATCAGTGTATGAATTCTTTTCTACAGTTGTAATTAGGAAAACCCCATGAGGTAGAACCTGTTCTTTTATAAATACTTCACTAAATTTAAGAGTTTGTAAATTTAGCAGTATAGCAGTTTTGGGAGAAAAACATTGTTACAGGGCTGGGGGGGTATCCAGCTTTGATTATTCATATAAAAGAATTCTTACGCTGCATAGAATCATCCAATTGTCGTCATGTTGTCAGCAGTCTCATAACAAAAGGTTAAATAAATGTACAAATAGCATTCATTAACTATAGTCCTTAAATCATTTGTCTTACTACTGCACTACGAGAATTTCCAAACATTCAGGGATTCTTGGTTTCTAGAGGATCAAATAGATAAGCTTACAAACTGCACTCTGTCTAGGAGGAGGAGGGAAGCCTATACTTACGCATCAGCAAGAACTATGCGTGTTCTTGTTACGTTTTCTATAGTGAACTTGGTTTTTCCACCTTTCCCAGCTATTCTTCCTATTGCTCTTGACAGATGATCTCCTTTCAAAGGTTTGACTAAAAGAATAAACGCAGTAAAACATCACATGCATTTCTGTGACACTTCTTTGTGCAAGTTACTGAAACAGCCAAGTTACACCAAAGCAACTTTACTATAGGTGAGATATATACGTGTATATATACATGCACAGAGCATGTACATGTACACGCATTTATATTCACCTATAGCGATATAGGTGAAAAATCACATCTAATGGTACGTGGCCACGTCGTCTCTGGTATCAGAAAGAAATTCTCATACAGAACTGTAATGGAAGGCAGTCTCTCCATTATCAGGCAGTTAAGATTGAGGAGGCATGCTCCCAACAGTCCCAGTAATATATTAAACAGTAAGTGTTTGTTGTATCTACTTCTCTGCCAGAATATCGGGAGAAGCAGAGCCCAATATACCATTTCAATTTAAAATAAATAAATAAATCTAATAGAGCTATTCCCAAAAACACCATGTCACCTTTAAGTTTAAAGAACAGCTTTCTATGATGAGAAAAATTAATTCAATCAGAAAATTAATTTGACAGAGATGATATACTTTTAAGAAAGCAGTTCTGGGCGTTTTGTTAGGACATTTCACAAAGACCACAACCCTTTGAATCCTCACGCACCTAGACAATAATCCTGTGTTGGTATGAAAGTTTTCCTGATCCTTGTGGATAAATAGCATGAGCAGAGTGAGCCACTTTCTTATAGTGTCACTGACTCTGAAGGAGCTACTTGGTTTTAGGGGAAGAGAAGAAAAAAAAAAAATGTATTGACAGATGACACACAATTACTAGAATACCACAGCTGAAAATACTTACCGTCTGTAACTTCAAAGGATTCTAGAAAAAGATCATCTAATCTGATGAGAGCAAGAGCATCCTAAAACATTAACAGATCAGTTAGTGAGTTTGTTACAGTACCGCAATACACAGAGTTGCGAGGCTATAGATTATGTGTGTTTTCTTTATACGTATAAAGAGACCACATCAATAACACTTCCCCACTTAACATGTCAAACAATAGTTGACAAAAACCAGTTCAACTACTTTTTCGATAGCAATATAAACTTATATTTCTGTACAGAGAACACTGCAAACGCTTAGGCCCCACCATTCTCCCATGATCCACTTAACACTGGTAAAATCTGTGCAAGCGTGCCACAAAAAGTATTTCTGTTCTCTGCAAGTAAAGTTTGAGTTTTGAACAGCGTAATGGTTATTGGCCTGGACTACACCAAAATGAACAGTCTCTGCATGTGCAGAGTAGCTTAAAGGCAGTTTATCGCTTCACGTTTACCTCTCATACATCACAAGATATTTCCCCCACTTCATAGTTTTAAAGAACAGTATCACTGGCCATAAGATTATGCTGCTTGAGGATTCTGAACTAGTTTAAGAAATTAGATTTCCCCTTGGTCACAATTTCAAACAAGTTTATTTTTTAGAAAACCATCTAAATACTGTTTTATTATTTCTTACTTGCTGTAGTTCGCAGAAAGGCCAAAGATTCCAAGCAAGCAAATTCAAGCAACTCACAAACTAGCTGTTGGAAGACTCACCTCAACTTGAAACCCAAGTATGAATGCTTTCACAAAATCAGCTGCTTTTGTTAGAGCGCTTATATCCTTTGTCTCTTGACAAGTCTGTGAGACAAGAAGTTATGCTGGCAAATTAAGACCATTCAAGTAGGATCATGACTTGAAAAATCTAAGAGGTCAAGGCCAATCATAAAAATTCGCATGCAGGTAATGCTCCTTCTATATTGCCTTTCACTGAAAGGCCTGAATAAACTTTGTGCTTTCTCGTAATGCTGACCCTCAA